TCTGTAAGAGTCTTAGTGTGAAACCACACCATAGTGTGCTCAAAGGGGGATCCCACACACTACATCCAGCACAGTTCCTGTCAATATGACGCCACATAATCCCTACCAGCATAAGCAAGTTTTACCATGTATACGCGCCAACATCTCAGCAGAAATCAGTATACTGGTAGATTGCTTAGCAGATGCCTTTCTCTTTGGAGTGTTACAAGCTCTTGGTGCATAAAGAAGATCTGTAAAGTTGCAAAGACTAAAGTCTCAAATCAAAAGAGATATTCTTTATAAAAGTTAAGAGTCAGAATTAAAACTGTCTAAACTTCTATTTTGAACTGCACACAATGCATTTTTGTTGCTATCCATGATACATATTGTTGCATTTCTATATTGAAATATATTGTGACACAATATTACTATTAGAATTATAGTATTGTAACTACCCTAATAACAGTGTATATCTGTAAGAGTCTTAGTGTGAAACCACACCATAGTGTGCTCAAAGGGGGATCCCACACACTACATCCAGCACAGTTCCTGTCAATATGACGCCACATAATCCCTACCAGCATAAGCAAGTTTTACCATGTATACGCGCCAACATCTCAGCAGAAATCAGTATACTGGTAGACTGCTTAGCAGATGCTTATCAAAACTGAAGATGCAGGATGCCACAAAAATGAATCTGCTTTTATTCAAAAGGATGTTGTTTGGATTGAGCATAACAGTAAAAGAAGTAGGGATGTCATCTATTATGAGACATAATGCAGCCTTAACTAGGCCAAGTGAAGTGAAACATAATTCCCACGTTAAAACAAGAAGGAAAGGAGGTTGCTGAATCTGAATTAAGCATAGATTGGCCTACATTAGCGGGTGGATTGGTTCAATACGTGCAAGAACTCATGTGGAGGCCAATCACCTTCAGTGGCCCTGTGTTACAAAAATACAGCAATTGCTGTACTGTAAATGAATTACAATGGATTATGACATCTACAGATGTCACTACTGATAACGTACCCACTGCATACTGATGCACAGGATGACTTTTATCTTTTTATGGAGTATTCATGGAACATTTGTGGTATATTTTGAATATATAACAACATAACTATGTGATCAGATGAAGTCGGTCTTTATTATAGAATCCTACAACCATAATGACAAAAACATGATGGCAAAACAGATGGAGATGCAGATGAACGTGGAGTCTCTTGCTGAGAAAGAACTGAAGGCCAAGAGTTCATCTGCATGATTTAAGAAGATAAGAGATCTTCCTATCTCGCATAAATTAACAGACTGATCATCTCAAGAGGGTGATAACGATGCAGGCACTGAACTCTAAGTCATATTGAAGGGTTAGTGAGTTCAGGAGAATTAGGCTCTAATTTCATGACCTTTGTCTTTATGCACTTTGTTCTGTCTGTTAGCAATGAAAATGGTTTCTACATCCTTCTGCAGCTAAATGAGTTTGATGAGACAAGTACTACAGAGAAGATAGTACCCCATTCCTGTACTAGATTAAGCACTAATGGAAGTGACGGGATACTTGATGAAATTTGATAAAGAATGACAAATGCATCAAAAGTGCTGGTCACTCAGGATGCGGTTTTGCTTACATGTGCATAGTTTTTAAAGGGGTCATATGATGCGATTTCAATTTTTTCCTTTCTCTTTGGAGTGTTACAAGCTCTTGGTGCATAAAGAAGATCTGTAAAGTTGCAAAGACTAAAGTCTCAAATCCAAAGAGATATTCTTTATAAAAGTTAAGAGTTAGCCACACCTACCTAAAACACAGCACACCTTGCTTTTTCAGACCGATGAGCTTTGTAAAAATCGACGCGTTTCAAAAAGGCGGGGCATAGAGGAGAAACAATAATGTACAGTATGTGGAAAATAATGTGTTTTTTTTACTTTAAACCGCATAAACACATTTCATTACACCAAATACACAAAATAATGTTATTTTTAGCAGCATCATATGACCCCTTTAAATGTAAGCAAGTACTAAATGGATGTACTTGACCACTTACTTAAATCCTCTATTGTAGCTTGTCAAAGGCTAAAAAATACACAATGTCAGATTTTTTTTTTTTTTATTGCATTATTTCTATTGTGTTATGGGTCAATTTGACCCATATATTTTTATGTTTAAAATAACTGCACAGACACAAAATTAAATAAATATATAATAATAAATAAATAAGGTGCAAATAACTAACAAATAAATAGCATCTTACATTATTTGTACTATAGCAAGTATCGCTATTGGTACTTCCTCTGCCTTTTTTTCCCAAACCTGTGTGTGGGTAAAATAGGTTTCTCATGTGTTTTATATTTTAGTGTTAGAAGTTACAATAAAGGTGTTCTTTTTTTTTTTTTACCTGGCTCTTCAGTGTTTTTCACAGGGTTAATTTTTAGCAAACTGCATGAAAACCAATGGAAGTCAGAAGTCACATCTAACAACACAGATTTTTTTTAGGTTGGCTGATTGGGCCATTAGTTTTTACTCTGCCTGTCAACTCACTGGCCTCACCCCAAAATATTTATCTTTTTTTTTTTTTAGCAAGTCATTTTATAATTGGAAGAAATATTAATATTTTTAATGCAGTTTTGTTAACTGTCTCAAACTGATCCTGGGCCAGCAGGCCATCCTTGTTTAGGCCTTAATTTACTTAAACATTTAGTCAAACATTTATCATTTAGTAGCACTGTTTATCATAGGACATATTCCTACAAATAAATAAACATCACATACTAGTATACTAAGAGAGAAAAAAAATATGCACTCGACTCAACGTGTAAGAATTATTGCAGCAACAAATGCCTCCAGAACTACACCGCTTTGGGTTAAGCCCAGATGATGAACAATGCCATTCTCATTAAACACAAAACTGCTGTTTGGCAGGGGTCCCTTTATGACACATTAATTATTTCAATCATAAAGGAACTAGACTGTAGCAGCAGGAATTTTAAGGCTGACCTTTAAGGTCATGATTGCAGTCAGAAGCCCTTCTTATTTGGACCCCCAATTAGTTGACCATTACAAGGCATCTGGGTCATTTTTCTCTGTCAGAATTGAGTATCATCTACCTCATGTTTCAAAGTTATCATGCAAGTTAGCAGCAGAAATAAAAAAGCAACTTTTACCACTCAAAAAGCAACATCAAAGAGAAACAAATTACAGTTTGAAGGTGTGCTTGGCAGGAGTGATGTATTTTGTTCATACTTTGGATGGCTGGGCAGCTCCGCAAGAGGCATTAGATTAATTAACACTGACTTACAATACAAAGCACTTTGAACTGAGAGAGTGCTCGAACCACAGCCAGATTGACGTGAAACTTTTTGCTCACTCCCCTAATCAGTCATTAGAATACCAACAGCCAATGGCCAGTTTCCTCTGGACAGCAGCCAAGAACTAAAGTCACAATCATAGCCAAGGTTGCTAAAATTCTTATAATGGTCGTGTAGTTTTATAGTCGCCAAGTCATGAACGACTAGAACAGTCACAAAAACTTAAAATGAAATGTTTAATATGATATGATAAAATACACTAATATAGTTCATTTTGATATTAATCGCAAGCTGGTTTGACTTTAAAACATCAGACATGCAGAGGTGGGCATGCTGTCATAAAACCTTATGAGGCAATGTCTAACGCAAAATGATAATATAAGTGGCTATTACATTTAGTCCATTAGAGTCTGACTTGCACAATAAACTGTAAATCTACTCCTATTTCTATGTTTTGGGGGGAATGTGTTGTTAAATGCAGTTTCCCTTACAGTTAATTTTCTTTACACCAAAATAAAGACCTTTTAAAACTATTTTCTGAATTCTAAAGACTTTTTTTTTGACTACTTAGAAAATTCCCATCAAGATTCTCATAGTTGTACCCACTAACACAAAGTTCAGATTGTTGAAGTGGCATGTTATTTCATGCACTATGAAGTATTACACCTAATACCCCCCCTGAGTCATCCTTAAGCAACTGTGAGTACACCTGCAGTGTATTTCCATTGCATCACTACATTCTCACCTCTGCTGCAAGCATTAACCTTTAGCTATGTGAGGGCACATCAAGATACCGCACTTAGTGCAAGCACTTCCCTGCACTCAGGCATATTCTAATACGTTTGCAGGGTCCTGAGGGTGAGCAAGCGAGGGTCAAATAAAGCTCCTAACAGTTTTAAATCATGTAGGAACACTCAAGAAGGAACAAACAATGGGTATGGAGAGGAAGTATTTAGCAAACTCTAAAATGGGATTGACCATGCCTCATAAACTAGACCCTGCCTCTTTATTCCCACAAAAACTGTGAAAAAGTTCACATTATTTCAATATAACAAATCATTTCCATCAATTTGACACAATAATTTGTGTTTTAAGAGATTATGAGTTTATTCCTAAGAAATTCAATTCAAAATAGTCCAAAAACTAAAATGCACATTAAGTTGTATCTTTGGCACCCTCGACTTTACTTAAAAATTTAAGGCAGCATTTAAACTTAAGTCTTAACCCAATTTTAGCAGGTTTAAATCATTATTGGTGATAAAAAGTGGGAAGACAGATTTTAAAGGATAACAATGGATGATGGGGGACATATCATATGTATACTTACGTATTGCATTATTATTTTAATCAATAAACCTAAAATACCATACTGAACTGAATGAATGAATTTTGTAGGTAGCCTGCCAAATCAATGTTGAAATATATGAATAGGCATAACTTGGACAAAAACAGCTAAAATGTTTTTTTTTTTTGTTTTTTTTGAAAATCTGGAAATCTGAATGAAAACTATTTTATACATGCTTAATACAGCCGTTGCTTAAAAGGCAAACTACTTTTTTTTTATATGACACGATGCATAACTAGTGCAGTTTTCAAATAACAATAAAACTTATGCAACGTTGCCTAATATTGTAAGAAAACATCCAATGCAACCACCAGATTGTCAGCCCGCGCAAATGAAAGACTCATGTTTGGCCTCCGCGCAAGCGCTCTCTCACCTTTCTTGAACTCCTCCAGCATTGCGTCGAGTTTAGTGTCATTGAAGACGAAATGTAAGGGATGGCTGTAGAACTTCGTTATCGTCTTCAGCGGGGTACAGTCGTCGGGATCCACAAACGCAAGGTCCTTCACGAACAGCAGGTCCACGATGTTGGACCTGTCGCCCTCGAATACCGGAATGCGCGTATAGCCGCTCTCCATGATCTCGCTCATGCTGTTGAAATCGAGCGTGGCGTCGCCGGTGATCATGAAGCAATCGCGCAACGGGGTCATCACATCTTCCACGGTCTTAGTCCTGAGCTCCAGTGCGCCCTGAATGATGTTCAGCTCCTCTTTCACCAAGTCATTATAGGGATCTGTGACCCTCAACATCTCCAAGAGCTTCTCTCGGTTGTACACCGTGCCAATCTCCTGTCCAAGGAGATAATCGAGCAGTTTACTTACCGGATAGGACGCAGGGAAAGTGAGCAGCATGAAGAATTTGGTCAAGAAGATTGTATTCGCACCCACAGCAAGACCGTGTCGTGAACATATCGCTTGAGGCACAATCTCTCCAAATATGACAATGCCAATGGTGGACATCACTACAGCTATCAATCCAGAACCGGCAATATCATCCAACAGAATGGTCAAGGTGGTGTTGACCAGAACATTCCCCAGAAGAAGCGAGCAAAGCAGGTAGTTCCCTTGGCTCCTGACGGGTTCGATCTTCCTGGCGTAGTTCTTCTCCTTCTCCGTCCCGCAGTTCTGGACGATCTGCAGCTCCATGGGATCCAGCGCCATCAGACCCAAGTTCAAGCCGCTGAACATGCCCGAGAGGCAGAGCAACATTGAAATGAAGATGACCTGGAGCCAGAAAGGGAGCAGAAACCTTTTCTCCTCCACCACGATCACTTTGGTGTCTTCTCCATCGTGATAGATCCACGTGTGCTCCGTCCACGGGTCGTGCGCGCCAGCCACGGCAGGTGTGGAAGTGGCGATGCACAGGTAGTACGCTTTGCTCCTCTCAGTCTTTCGCAGAGGCTTGACCTCGATTTCCACGATACCAGACGTCTTGCGATTTAAAATGATGTTGGGCAAGATGAGAATATCCGAAGTCCTGATGCCACAGGGATGCAAGCCCGACGTGTCCTCCTGACTTTTGTTGTCCCCTGAGGAGCTGTCGATGTTGCCAATCACTCGACTCCTCTCGTGTTCCGTAAAGGCGATTTTGGACCACGTCTCGTTGTTAATGTTTTGCCCGAACACCCTCAGTCTCACCCGAGACCTCTCACTGACCCGCAAATAGCCCCTGTCCATGAAGGAAATGTCGTCCGTGTCCTCCAGTCTCAGCCCGATGATGACCGTCTCCTCTCCCCCTCCTTCCTTGCCACTTGTGGGAGTAATTAAATAACTGCTTGCAGTTAAGAAAATCAGAGTAAAGGCTCGGACCCGGCTAAGTGACGCCATTTTTTGAGGGGGTACTGGAACCGACGGTTCTGCCATGTTGATAATGGTCAGCCTGTTGAATGAAAGGGCTTTTAAAAATCAGAGCCAATCCGGCTTCATGTCCGCTGCGCGTCGCCTTGATTTGTGCATCAGGTCTCGCTGAGTCCCACTACGCGGCTGAAACTGATCACACTTCAGCGAGAGCAGCGCGAACTCGTGCCTCCACTGATGTCTCGGTGACAGGCAAGCGGGGCACCCAATCCAGAGGCGCAGCTGGGAGGGGGGCGGGGCTTTCGCTGCCGGAACAGCCAATGAGCTCCGTAAACAGTCGCACTTAAAGCAAATGAGAGCAAACAGAAGTTTCCTCGTGACTGTTTTTGGTGTTTTGAGAAGGATTTTTGTTGACAGCATTTTTAAATAGTGCCAAGATACACTCAAGAAGTGTAGTAAATAACTAACAAGATTATAGAGCGTTTCTTCAATGACCCAGGGACGACCTGTGGACTTTTAGAAAATAAATATACATGCATCTCAGGAGAATTTCTGTCAGTTTTCTGAAACTGTATCCTAAATTACATCACCTGAAATGACACACAATAATTAAAAAAAAGACAAATAACAGATATCTTCCTTGGTTTTTCTCTTTAATTCTATTCTTTACTGTTGCCTCCATAGTAAACAAGTAGACTAATGATTGAAAAAACTTTGTAGGAAGAAAATTGTTTGTTGTGCTGGAAATGATGCCACACTGCACTTTTTCTTTCTTTGAATCGTAATAGTTTCACAAATGCAATGTGTAGACAGGAATGTAGGGGTAAGAGGGGAAAGTAGGATCACAACGGGATCTCTGGGGATTCAGGGACACATATGTCCAAAACATGTGCACAGCCCACAGCAAGACATATATTTATGTTGGTTTTTAATAATTTGTGACTGAACGTTTGGATCTGAGACGAGGATAAAACAAAATATCAAAAAAAATAAATTAATAATAATAATAATACGAAAAGTATAAAAAATAGATGACATGGAATAAATAAAAAATAGATGTAAATAGCAAAAATAGATGTTAATGTGACCTTCATATACTGTAACAATAAGAAAAATAAGTTTATTATCAACCTCTGAGACATAAAAGTGCTGAACACCCAGGAACTCAGCCCTCAGTCATCCTAAAGAAATTAACAAAGCTATAAATTTATTGTGATTACACAAACTTCTCATAGGTAACTATATACCTCACATAGATAAGGCAGGGATTAAAGCAATCTTTAAAAATGCAAGAGGTGCAAAACCTATGAAAGGATGTAAAAAAAAAATATATCGTGATCTCCATAGAGTCAACCTTTTATCATTATCAGGGATCAGAGATCAGTCCAGACCAAAGGAGAGTTGATAGATTATGAAATATTTCGCAATCCTACAATCTTTACAGTTAGTGAAAATTCACATTCAGTAAATTGGAGAGAATAAATAAATCTATGTTGAAAACACTTTTGACTGGAATTCTGTAAAAGTTTCCATAACTTCATGTAACCTCAAATTCTGGTCCCAGAATTGCAGCAAAGGCTTGACGAGTTCCCCTTCCCACCTGAAAGTCCTGTTGTGAAATTTTAAGGTATGGGGCTAGATTACGTTTTATAAAAAGTGATTTGCATGTCAGTATCATTACATACAGCTGATAGTAATACCCAGGCAGTCAGCTCAAACGTATTTTTATTTCAGCATTGGAAAAAGTGATTTGATTACAAAAGTTCAATAAAACATGTGTTTTCAGTTAGCTTATGTTTGGCAATACAATAAAGATTACAATAACGATTAAACCTGACAGGTGAACACTTTAGATTATGCAACTATATAGACCTGTGTGAGGTACTGGTCAATGCTATACATTTATCAGTATGATTAAAGATTTGTTTAAAACATCACTAGATTTATTGATTTCTTATTGTTTTTCCTTGTGTTACCTTACACAAATTATAAGTAATACTATAGTATAGTGTATATGGTACTATTACATTTTTACACAATCACAGTCACAATTAACAACAAATAATGTGTTCTTTTCAAGTAAAAATCAAACAGTACTGTTACATTTGCTGGGAGTCACTTGCAGCATGATTGCTGGTCTCCACAGCACCCCCCAGTGGAAGGAGTTACACTTGCACTGCCCAACTGCTGGAACAGCTCAAAGGGATTCACTGACACTGCCTGAAGAGAGACGTAGATTCTCAGTGGTTGCAAGTATAGTATATTCATAATTTACATCGATTTGGTTCCATAGTACTTCAGTATTCATGGACACATAGCCATTCATTGACACTGATTCATTACGCAGCTGCATCCCGATCCCATTATATCATAGGTATGCTAAAATTCATTGCATTCAGGATAAGATGATGGAATCAATTTTGAATCAGAACTTACAGGCAGATCTCTTTGATCAACCCAACCATAAGTGTGCGTTGTGACATATGAGGACACAAATTTGTATAAAGACATGGGTATCTCCATTACAAGGAGAAGGTGACTTATGAGTACATTACCCCATGTCCCCATTTTTCAAAACACTTATAAATCATACAGAGTGAGTTTTTTTGAGAAAGCAAAAATGCACAAAGTTTCCTGTAAGGGGTAGGGTTAGGTGTAGGGTTGGTGTAGGGCAATAGCACATACAGTTTGTGGAGTATAAAAACCATTACGCTTATGGAATGACCCCACAATTCACAAAAACAAACGTGTGTGTGTGTGTGTGTGTGTGTACACTGCCTGGCCAAAGAAAAAAAAAGTTGACATCTGGATTTAAATATGCAAATATGTATGATTTCAAGATTTAATAATTATTGCAGTATCTGTTTCTTGCATGTTGTATGTTTGGCAACAATTCTTTTAACACTAACTTATGTAGTGCATAGCTTTTTATTTCTCAAAAAAACACGTTGGCCACCACAGAGTCCTGACCTTAACCCCACTGAAAATCTTTATGGTGTGCTGGAGTCGACTTTACACTGCCTGTCCAAAAAAAAAAAAAAAAAGTTGCACACTAATATTTTGTTGGACTGCCTTTAACTTTGATTTTATTGTGCATTCGTTGTTTTGACAATGTCATGTGACATCACAGCATTCATTTCCATCAAGAGTTGCATTCATTTTTGGCCAAGATCTTGTATTGACAATGGGAGAGTCAAACCACTCTCTAAAAAGTCCACTCCAAAAGTCAAAAGTCAAATCCTAAAGACTTTCAGTAGACTTAAACTCAGGACTCTGTGGTGGCCAATTCATACAAGACAATGATTCCTCAAGCTCACTGAACCACTATTTCACAAATTAAGCCTGGTGAATCTTGGTTTTGTTATCCTGAAATATGTACATGGGTATGTCTTCCAACATGGTTTCAAAAATTTTGAAAAACTCTGGTCTAAAACAACAGAAACGGCATGAATCTGGATGCAATGCTTCCTTGTTACATTTTTAAACCACAAGTTTTGTAAATGTCGCCTTGATTTGGTTTACACTATTAATGAGATTATATTTATAGGCTTTTGTGTAAAGGTAACAATCAGCTAAAGCATGTCAGGAATCTTTTTAGGTCTAAAAACTTTAAGAATAAAACCAAAACTATATATTTAGGCAAGCATTTCTAAAATTGTGCTTCGTTGTTGTAAGTCAATTCTATATAGTCCTTTCTTGTGTTTGAAGGGACTGAATCACCAACAACACTGATAAGATGGCGTTCTTTGTTTGAAAGGGCGGGCATTCCTCTGTGGCCAAGGCTTGTGTGTCTGTGGCTGATGGGTCTAGAGCAACTTAAGTGGCCAATGAGAAATATTTTGAATGCTAGTTGTTATGTTGAAAGCTGATTAGTCTAAAATTGTAACAAAAATGTATTTTACACCTGAAACTCAATTGGAACATTATGCACAGACGAGATATACTATTAAGTACATTACTGAATATATGACCGACACTAAGAAAATGAGGCATGTTTACACACTGGTAAGAGTCACTTACCTTGGGTTTGGCCCAGCATCCACCAGAGCCGGAGGTGTTCAACCCCTGAAGCTGAAATGTGAATTCTTCAGAAAATCTGGAGTTGTTCAAGATGCTGGCCACAACACCATCCACCTCCATCTCTGTATCTACCTAAAGAAACACACAAAAGTGCCGTGTTCATGCTTGCTGACAACAGACACTACTGTTCAATGGTTTGGGGTCGCTAACAATTTTAAATGTTTTTGAAAGGAGTCTCTTAGGCTCACCAAGGCTTCATTTATTTGTTCTAAAATACAGTAAAAAATACTGTACAAATACAGTCTTCTATTGTGATACATTTTAAAATGTAATTTATTCTTATAATGCAGCTGAATTTTCAGCAGCCATTACTCAGGATTATTCAGGATTCTTTGATGAAGTTCAAAAGAAACTTTTTTTTTTATTATTATTATTTGAAATAGTAATCTTCTGTAACATTATAAATGTCTTTACTACTTTTAATCAATTTATGCATCCTTGCTAAATAAAAGCATTAATTTCTTTCTTTCCAAAAAAAATCCTACTGACCCCAAACTTTTCAAACGGCATGTGTTATGGCTTTTATGTAACACATTTAAATGAATTACATGTACAGCATTTATTACATATGCATATTACTTTTAAAATCACCATGTGACCAGCAGACAAAGCAAAAGCTCAGAACACAAGGTATAGCTATTAAGATATAGTTAGTCATGATTCAAATACAGCTAAACCATTTGGATGTTATTCTAACATTACTATTCATTTATTCAAAAACATGAATTATAACTACTGGCACAAATAAGGGAAAAATGTGCTGGACCTGATATGCAATATGAGCTCTATATGCAGATCTGATGAACTGGATGTAGCTACACACCTTAAAGGTATACTGGGCATCAAACTCGAAGCTTTCCTCCGCACCTGTAATTTCTCCATTGTACATGACCAGACAGGACTTCTTCTCTGAACCTTTTGGTAACTTGAAGAGCCGGTATGTGGCTGACACAAATTTGTAGTCCCCTAAACAAATTTCACAATTCAAGGTAAAACTATGAACTAACATTTAAAAAAAAAAAATGAAAATGAAAAAAAAATATATATATATATTTTCATTCATCTTTACGATGCATTATGCACTGGCACAATTTATAAACAAATGTTCAGTTTTAGTGCACA